ATTCTGGCCAAGAATGTAGGTGCTTTCTGCTCTTTAAGAATTTGCCTGAAGCTAAACTAAAAAGAAATGAACTAATTTCTTTGTTGGAGATTATAAACCTAATATTGCCTTGGCCCTGTAGTTATTAGCAATCACTCTTATGCGGATCTACGGTGATAAAGAACAAGTGGGGCAAAAAGAAATACAAAATGCACGGTTTGAGGAGAAAAAGAACACTGGGAAATTTAGTGTTGGAGCCAGGGTTTGTGCTGACTGTGTAAGAAAGAAAAGCAGAATGGGGGGGGGGGGGTTTTACCCATTAGGGGAAGACTCCACTCGGTTAATCTTCCAATTTGTAATGAAAAAAGCCTAAGAATTTTCTGCTCCAAAAAAAAGGGGAGGGAGGGAGGGAAGGAGGGAGGGAGGGAGGGAGGGAGGGAAAGGAAGAAAAAAAAAGAAAATGCTGCAAATGTCATTCAGTGGGGTCAGACTCAACCCAAGCAGGAAGCAGAACTTGAGAGTACTGTCCACATGGTATGGTATGGTTCTGGCTTCAGTCATGAAAGCTGCTGAAGCCAAGCAATGTGTGCCAAGGCAGTCCCTGCGTGAAGGTCCATGAAGGAACGGAAAGGACAAGAGGTCCTGAGAGACTACTCCATAAAGCTGTGGAAATGATGTCTGGATTGAATTGGAGATTCCAAGACATTAGAGGTGCAAGGGCCATGGGATCTCTGCCAAAGAGAACTGCATCAGAGAAACCAGCTCACACCATGTTGCAGGAAGTAAATCTGAAAGGGCAGAGCCATGTGTATCCTTTGACATAAAACACGAAGCTACAAGATTTGGAGTTTGCACTGCGAGGTTTCAGTCTTGATTGGGTCCAGTATTTCCGCACTACATCCCCATCTTTCCCTCTAGAATGGTAATATGTAGTCTGTTCTATAGTATGTTGCAATATGTAATATGAAGTATGTAATTTGCTTTTTGATTTGACAGGGGGTTACAATTAAAAGATTGCCTTGAGTCCCAGAAGAAGCTTGAATTTTGGATTTTAAATTTTGATGTTGAAACTGTGAAAGACTGGGAAACTTCTGATGTTGGAGTAAATGCATTTTGAATGATGGATGATATGGCCACAAGCCTACTGGGCGTAGGGAGTGGAATGTGGTGGTTTGAAGAATGGCTTCCACAGGCTCTATGAATACTGGGTCCTCACTTGTGAGAGCGATCTGGGAAAGATTAGGTATGGCCTTGTTGGAGGTGTGTCAAAGCAGCTGAGCTTTAGGTGTGCTTTCTGCCTCCTCCATGTGTAAGATGTGAGCTCCCAGCTACTGCTCCCATCACCTACAGTTATGCCTTCATTCTGCCATCATAAATTCTAACCTCGGGAACAATACAACCAATTAAACTCTATCTTTTATAAATTGCCTTGGTCATGGTGTTTTATCACAGAAATATAAAAGAAATGAAAATATACTCCCAAATAGCCAAAATAATAGCCAAAATAATCCTTGGGGTACCTAAGAGGTATCATAGTCGATTTTACAATATACTACAGAGCCCTAGTACCAAAACCAGCATGGTATGAGACAAAAACAATCATATAGACCAGTGCAGTAGAATACAGAGCCCAGAAAGAAACCTAAAGTTACAGCCTCTCAATTACTGACAAATATTCTAAAAACAAGTATCGGAGGGGAAAAAGATTCCTCTACAAATGTTTCTGACAAAACTTGGTATGAACAATGCTGAAGAATGAAACAAGAATCCCTCTCTCATCCTACACAAAATTCAATTCTACAGGAACCTCAGCCTTTGATGTAAGATCCAAGACAGTGAAACTATCAGAAGAGAAAGGAGGAAGACACTTCTGTGCATGCAGCCCAAGCAGGCAAGAGTCATCCTTAAAGGAGAGTCGTCATTACACACAGCCCAGAAACCATGATAAGTGCACTTTGTCTGAAATAGACTGTTATATTCTTCATCAATGAAGGACTGTCACTGAAGCAGGGAGAAGGCACAGAAAGCTAAAAGCCCAGCAAAGCTAAGCAGTGTGAGAACCCAAACCATGTTACTAAGTGTCTGGTACTTTTCTGAAACTAGATTATGGCCAGAAAAGATGAAGATTTCATTTCTGATACTGTAATAGGCCAGTGGCCTAAATAATCATGTTTCATATAAATAATCATGTTGGCTGTCAACTTGACTACATCTGGAAATAGGGCACAACTGTGAGGGAGTTTTGCTTGATTTCAGTGGGGAGATCTACTTCTAATCTAGATCTTAGCTAGTCTTGGTTGTCAACTTGACTACATCTGGAATTAGGGCACAACTGTGAGGGAGTTTTGCTTGATTTCAGTGGGGACATCTACTTCTAATCCAGATTTTTTTGAGCTGGGAAGACCCATCTCTACCTCTGCCACAGCTTCTGCTAGAAGCCTATCTAAGGACATGGAAGGAAGGTAGGTTTTGGCTCTTTGCTTGCTTTTGCCTGACTATCAAGTCCATTTCTTCACTGGCATTAGAGCCAACTTCTTCGGGATTCTGGCATATACTGCAGACCAGCTGAGACATACAGCCTTGTGGACTGAACAACTAGTGGATTCTTAGACCTTCCATTCATAGGCAGCCATTGTTGGATTAACAACCACAGCTTGTAAGTCATTCTAATAAATCCCATATGTATGTATGTATGTATGTATATATACACACACATATATGCATATGTGTATGTATATGTATATATACATCCCCATATAGTCATTCTATAAGTTCTGTTACTTTACAGAAGCTTAATTAATACAGTACCTTTATAAGGAATAACTAAATTTCAATTTCATTCCATTAAAAAATGTTTACTAGGTGGCTACAATGTGCAGACACCACTCTACAGACACTTGATAACGGAGTAAATCAGTCAAAGTGCCTATCTTCTACCTTTTTGTAGAGAGCAAAAAAATAAAATATTCAGGCAAGATGGTAGAAAATGCATCAGAACAAGTAAATGAGTAGAAGAAAGAGAAATTCAACCAGTTTCCCTAGTGCCTCGCAAAAGAGTGATCATTAAAGATGTTAAGTGAAATAAGCCAAACCCAGAAAGTCGACTATCACATCTTCTCTCATACAGACTCTAGATTTTAATTTGTGTGTGCATGTAAATCCCAAAACTTGAAAGGGGGCCATGGGAGAGTTAGAAACTTAGAGGAGGGATAAAGGAGAGGGTGAGAGAATACACGAGACGGGAAGCATTGCAGACAGCGGGGGCTGCGGGAGGGAAGGAGACAAGCAAGACGGGGAGACAGTGGGAGAGGGAACAATTAACAACAGAGTACAAATGCCACGATCAAACAGATCCGCTGCCTTTGAAAAACTGTCTAAGGGATACATAAAGTTGTGCCATTTCACAACACAAATTCCAGCAGGTCTCACATATACTAGGTTAATAAAACGAATCTATTGTTCCCTATTTAAGAAAGCCAACTGCTGTTTATGAAGATTATTCTCTACTTTTGAGAGTTCTTGGTCAGCCTTCATTGAATTTACAAATATACACACAAAATATTCACGTTACTCCATTTGTGTGTCGGAAATCAAACTCATCACTCGGTCCAATATATTACATTTCTCCTGTAATAAGAAAATTAATATTCATTCAATTCTATTCTCCAACATTACATTCACATGTTTAAAATATATAAACCCTTAAGTGCAGATATACATACATATGTAAACATATACAGACATACATGTAAATATACACTTGTACCCACATATTTTTCTTAGCCTCTAAGAAACTGTTTTTAAAACGTATTTTATGGTATCCTGCAGTTTGGGGACAACCAATGATTTGCTGCATTTTCATTTCTAAGGGCAACATTATTCAAGACTCAAACACCATGAACACTTCTAAATGAGATTAATCAGTTACAATCACAATGAAAATAAAGGATCCAAAAAGGAAGGATTGGGCTATTTCCTATGGCTTGAATGTGTTCCCAGAAAACATGTTAAAAGCTTAATCCCCAATGCAGCAGTGTTGAGTGGCAAGGCTCAGTGGCAGGCGTTTAAATCATGACATCTTCATTTTCATAAATGGATTGAGCAATAATTACAAAATAGCTTGCGGCTGCCAGTCTACCACTTCCTGCTCTCTCAGTCACTATCATAGGATGGGGTCCCAACAAGACCCTTGCTAGATCCTGGGACTGAACACTGAAATACCCAGCCATTGAATTCTAATAGTTTTTAATAAGTTACCCAGTATGTGCCATGATATTAACAATATAAAACAAAGACATATAAAATATCTGCTACCTTAGTAACTACCAATCAGTGTTTAACCATGTGTGCAGGTGAGTAGCTAAAAACAGAATTCAGAAAATTCATGAACTCAGAATGTCAGTATTTGTGGAAGTGTGACCAGTTAGCACATACTGGGGAAGGAACTTCACCTCTAGAATCATATGAATCCAAAATTCACATGGAAATTTAATCTCCAATTCATAGTACTAAGGTCATTTCTGCAGGAGGTGATTAGCTCACAAAGTGTCCTCCCTCGAGGTGGGACTGCGGCCACTATTAAAGGCTCTTCACACAGCTGTTTGTCCTTCAGCCACCCTGAGTAGCACAGGCCATGCTCTGAAGCACCAAGACCAGGTTCTCAGCAGCACCTGCATCTGCTGGCACTGCTACACTTGGACTTCACAGCCTCCAGAATGTGAAAACGAATCTATTACCTACAAACTACCCAGCTTTGGGCAATTTGTTATAGCCCAAACAGTCTAAGGAAGAAAAGCATCTGAATTTACAATGCTTCTGTGGTTATCATAATTTTTCCTTCAAATCAAAAAGAGTCAAGAAAATGTAATCCAGGATAATCTGTCACTGAAATTTAATCAATGTCTGTTATGGAAAAAAAATGTTTATTCTGCAATTATTTTAATTTAGAAATAGAAAACCTCTTGGGGAGGAGGAAAGAAAAACACAAAGTATGCAGGCAACTTTTTACTTCATGAGCTCACACTCTCATTTGTTCACTAGTTCCCACGAAGAGAAAGCACTCAGCCACCCCTGAAAAAGAAAGAAAAATGGCCACTTTTAAGCAGAGTATAATAATAATCATTTGAAATGCAACAGGCTGTGATTTTACTGTGGGATGGTCTTTATGTCAAATGTGTTGCTGATTGGTCAATAAATAAATCACTGATTGGCCCGTGGCCAGGCAGGAAGTATAGGCGGGACAAGGAGGAGAATGGAGCTGGAAGTGGAAGGCTGAGGGAAGAGACACTGCCAGCCGCCATCAGGATAAGGAAGATGTAAAGCACCGGTAAGCCACAAGCCACGTGGCAAGGTATAGATTAATAGAAATGGATTAATTTAAGCTGTAAGAACAGTTAACAAGAAGCCTGCCACGGCCATACAGTTTGTAACCAATATAAGTCTCTGTGTTTACTTGATCGGGTTTGAGCGGCTTGGGACTGGCGGGTGAGAGATTTGTCCAGACTGTGGGCCAGGCAGGAAAACTCTAGCAACAGATTTCATGAAATCAAACCCAGTTTCAAGAGAATAACACCTCACTTTATCCCAAGACAGTCTAAAAGAATAACACTAAATTAAAATCTGAAGCTGAGAGGTCCTTAATGATGGCGTGGCTTCAGGGCAGATGTATTTTAACACTCATTATGCTCCTGTGGGAAATGTCATTTTGGAACAGTCTGACATGTCTTTCGAAACTAACAAAACGCATTAATTACACGAGAGAGAAGCTTTTCATTTCTACATGACATACAAGTAACAAACCGATTTAAAATAAAAGCTACTGATAAGCACCACTGTTCTCATCCACTAGACTCCATCAGAAAGGTCCAAGAGTTTGCTTTAAGCACAATGAAAACAAGACTAACATTCCCACAGAAGACCCCCTAAATTTAAAAGCATAACATTAATATTTATTTTAATACTGGGATGCCAACTAGAAAGAGAATTCCATTACAAGATGAGCATTATATACCCAAGTACACATTTTACTGCTACTTGATATTATGAAGTTGCATTGCAATAACTTAATCACCAACATGGTCTTTTTAACTCCTTTGAATTACAGTACTACATACATTAATTTTGACTACAATTGTAAAACAAAACAAAAACACAAAAACCACGCCCAAACATCTATCATGAGGGGAAAAAAATGGGATTACAATTCAATCTAGTGAGAAGTTTGTGGGTGTATTTCTCCTGCCATCCTCTCTGAGTGATTTACATCATTCTAAGCATCTAAACATTCCTTTCAGTTCTGTAGCTACTGCAGTGTAACACAAAAGTATGTTCTATACTTCCCGTCCCCCCGCCAAAAAAACCCAAAACAACTGTTTTATTTGGCTTTCACTTTGGGAGGAAAACATTAAGTAGTAAATAACTTGTAAAACAACAACGTAATTTTTTAATTATAAAAAAAGCTTCCCAAGCAGCTAGCATCCAAAACGTTTCCTATGTTGCTCTAGCACTTGTGAGCCACTCAAATTACTCATGCTCTCTCTGCCTCAGTTTCTTCCTGAGGATTAAATGAGTTGATTCACATTTGACAAAAACAGAAACAGGTTAAGATCTCAGCAAAGGCTATTATCATCATCCTTATGTTTACTAGAAAAAGATAAAGAATTCAAGCCATTGACTTAATTGAACTAATATTTATTCAGTGTTCTTAACCCCTACATAAGTACCAACCTGTATCTTCGTGTGTGCACATGACGGTATTCTCTGTAAGATTAGGACCATTATAAAATTCTCTTCTCACAGCCTCTAATGCTTAGTTTCCTTTGTCCCCTTTACCAAGTGAAAACTCAGCATGTAAGGATCCAGGTCAAGCCCTCACCCGATACTGAACTGACTATAGCATTATAAACTTACATTTCAGTAAGAAATAAATTTCTATTATCTCCGAATTACCCAGTCTTGAGCATTTTGTTATAGCAGCCCAAAAGACTATGACAGAAAAGCTTCTGAGATACAATATTCACTAGTTCTTTTTCCTATAAACTAAAATAGTGTCAAAAAGAAAAAAAAATCATTGTTTTGATTCAATAGAATTCGATTATCTATAGTGGAAAATGTTTATTTTGAAATAAGTATAGTTTAGAAATAAAACATTCTGGGGGAAAGAATGACAAGAAGAGGGAAAAAAGTATGCAGGCAGATAAGAAGCCTTCCTCCAAACTCCCAATCTTAATATGACAGACGCACATATCAAAGTATGACTCAAGTTCACTGAAGTCTGTCAAGAAAGATAAAAGCATTTTGCTAAGTAAGTGAATGTTTGGGAGGAAAAAAACTACATCCAAAAAAAAAGTCAACAAGACTTTGTTTGTTGTTCTGGATGGCAAGTTAAGGACATCATCACAGAAAACAAACTGTGTCACCAAAGAACCTTCACACAGGAAAGACCCTGGCCTCAGCTGGGATGTGAGGGGAGAGGAGCACAAACACGGCCTTGAGAAGCTGTGGCACTTCTTTCCCCGAGAGGACAACTGGGCCCACAGTCAGATTCAGGTCTCTACTTCACAAGGCTCTCCAAGATTCCACAATGCCAAAGCTGGCATTTCTTATTAGTAACACAAATGGCGTTTCCCAATGGACAGAAGACAGCTAATGATTTGGTTCCTTCAAGCTTTTTGTTGCTCTATTTTTTGACACATGGTTTCATTATATAGCCCAGGCTGGCCTCAGAACTTGCAGTAATATTCCTGCTCCTGACATTTCACCTCAAAGTTGGAGGATTTTAGGCCTGTACCAAGCACGTCCATCAGAACCCTGTAACTCCTTATCAACCAAAAGTATCACTACGTGATCTTTTGTTTAAAGCCATCTAACGGTATGTATTTAGTCACATGTCCTGTAAAAAACAATTCTACCAATGTAAGTGGTAAAATATCTAGTACTGAAGAGATTTATAATTAAGGAGTTTTACTAAATAGATTTGAACTTTTCCACCCCATAAAGTCAGTATTATAGTTCCAAATCAGAGAAGAGGCTGAAACATTATGACTACAAAATTATACACTATAGAAGAAGCAGCAGAGCTGGCTCAGTCATTAAAAGCATGTATTCTCTTAGAGGACTGGGGTTCGGTTCCTAGCAACCACCCTAAGCAACTCACAATAGCTTGTAACTTCAGCTCCAGGGGACTCAATGCCCTTTCTGGCCCCACCAAGGAGCACTGCATTCATATGTATTTACCCCAACACATGCTTATGATTAAAAAAACAAAATATATTTTAAAGAGTCTAGAGTAGCCGGGCAGTGGTGGCGCACGTCTTTAATCCCAGCACTTGGGAGGCAGAGCCAGGCGGATCTCTGTGAGTTCGAGGCCAGCCTGGTCTACAAAGTGAGTTCCAGGAAAGGCGCAAAGCTACACAGAGAAACCCTGTCTTGAAAATCAAAAAAAAAAAAAAAAGAGTCTAGAGTATGTGTTGAAACTCATACCAAGTCCTTCAACTAAACTCAACTTGTAAATAAATATGGATATCTCTAACTGTTCTATGCCATAATATGTTCCAATGATCTACAATGAATTTTAAAAGCAAAGTATATAGCAAAAAACAGAGTGGAATGTTTGCTCCTAGTCTTCTCTCCTTTGTTACACACCCAAAGGTTAGAAACACCCCGCCAATAACACCAGTGGTTCAGTAACAATTAGCAACTGGATGCTTTTCTGAAGGTCTTACATGACTTTTAAAGTCATTAACTGTAATGTAATCCAAGTAAGAACTACTGTCCTTACACTGAATGGTTAATTAAATTGTCCAAGGTTACGACAGGTACTAAGCAACAAGGAAAAAAAAAATGTAGGCAATCTGGTTCTGTCAGATTTCTACCAAAATAGTAATTTTCAGATGAAGCATGGGTTCTCTGCACCTTAAAAGAATCAAAGACGACAGGATTTGTCATGAGTCTGGTCTGTCACTGAATACTTGGCAGTGATACAGTGTGCCTTTAATTGACTTTGATACTGGAAAACTTTATTAAATACAACAGTCGTACCTCACGAGTTGCTATAAAGACTGTATTAGGTATAAAAGCATTTTGAAAGTATTATTAGAGACACAATATCAGTACATTATTAAAATACCTTCGGGCCATATCTATACATTAATAAAATGGGCTAATGCTAATCTGCACTCAAATGGTTTCATTTGCAGTCATTGCTAGATAGTCTATTTTATAAAGTTACTTACACAATAATGTTATTAATAGGGATGTGGATCAGTTTCACAAAGAAGCCAATGAATCCCATGATAGCAAATCCTATGGCTGTGGCCATGGCAATCTTCTGGAATTCTGAATTTAAAACACAAAATTTGTATGAACTTTTGGCAGTCACTGAAAGTATGAAGAAAAGTTATCAGTAATATTAATAAAGTTACCAGCATACATTTTGATTGGTAGATACACAATTTTAAAAATGAAGAAAAAGTGAGAGTAATAATAGTACAAAACTTGACTTAGAGGTTTTTAAATTCTGTACTTTGTTGATATTTAAAGGAAACACAGAAACAAAAATGCTATGCTCCTGAGTCCATCAATAAACACCAAAAGTATTTATTATTCTCAGTGACCAAAATAAAAACAGTAAGACAGGACTGAGGTCAGCATCATAGTGCTTTGCCCTACACTGTCTTTTTCTTCACTGTAACATATTGATTATAACAGTAAGATCGTAGCTTTGGGTATATTATCAACAGCTAGTTGACTTTAATACCATGATAAAGTAAAAGGCCAAGACTGAAAATTCAAATTAAGGTGAGCAGTTTTACAAAAAGGTTTCAACTCTGGTATATTTCAAACCTATTCTATCTAAGGACACATTCCCTGACCACCTCACCTAGTTCTCCTATTCTACCAGATCTCCTCATTATCTTCCTTCACAGCTACCAAAGCAAGAATCAAATGTGCAACTGCAATTACTAGGTGGCGTTCCCTGACAGATCCACAGCTTCATGAGAGTAATCCAGTATCTATTATTTATTTAGGTATTTGATGTGTGTTAGCTAGTTTCATGTCAACTTGACACAGCTAGTCATCTGAGAAGGGAACTCCAATTGAGAAAATGCCTCTGTAAGATTCAGCTGTAGGCAGGCAAGCCTGCAGTGCATTTTCATTAATGACTGACGGGGGAAGACCTAGTCCACTGTAGGTGGGGATACCCCCGGGCTGGTGGTCCTGGGTTCTATAAGAAAGTAGGCTGAGGCCGGGCGGTGGTGGCGCACGCCTTTAATCCCAGCACTCGGGAGGCAGAGTCAGGCGGATCTCTGTGAGTTTGAGGCCAGCCTGGGCTACCAAGTGAGTCCCAGGAAAGGCGCAAAGCTACACAGAGAAACCCTGTCTGGAAAAATCAAAAAAAAAAAAGAAAGTAGGCTGAACAACCCATGAGGAACAAACCAGCAAGCAGCACCCCTCTAAGGTCTATGCATCAGCTCCTGCCTCTAGGTTCCTGCCCTGTTCTAATTCCTTACTTGGCTTCCTTCAATGGAATTAAAAACAAGATATGTAAACCAAATAAACCCTTCCTCCCCAGATAGCTTTTGGTCATAGTAATCATCACAGCAATACTAACCCTAAGATAATATGTTACTCAATTATAAGACTATAGACTTAAATTCTAACCCAGTCAATTCATGAATTACAGCAGACAAATTTTAGCATACCTTTTTAGCTATGACATGAGAAAGCAAAATAAACTTTCTAGATTGTAATAACTATACCATTAATTTCACGTTAAAGTTTTATTCACTGGAGGACAGAGCAGGGACAATGCCAAGGTTTCCACACACTGGTAATATGGAAGATACTAAAATATGACTAACTTAAATATGATATGGATGAAAAGCCCTTAATAATCTCGTATGATATAAAACAAAACTTTAAACAGTTCTTGCCAAGGACATAAAGGAAGAAAGGGCAATGGCAGTAACATCAACGCAATGCTCCTTTTAGTGGCACTTTATCATTGAACTGATTCCCAGCCCCGCAAAGATTAATCAGCAAGTGTTAACACAAGACTTAGAAAATGCAAATACAGTGTTTTCTTTCCTGGTTAAGATATTATTACCTTTTCTATCGGGTTTGGTGCATCTCTTAACCAGCCGAATTGAGTCCTTCACAAACTGCCGGCTTGGCTCAACAAACTGCATTACCTGATCCATGGCTGACTGTTTAAAAAATAAAAGTGAAAACAACATATTCAGTAGAATTCTTTCAAATATTAAGACTTGTTGAGTTATATACAGAGGTAAGTAGAGCAATGGTGAATTCAATTCACAAAGAAAAGCAAATTTCCAAGCTTAAATGTATTTTTTATCATATTCAAGAAAACACAAGACTACAGATAAACAAGCACAGATCTTACCAATGTTATCCTCAATGGCAAAGGTTCACACATACTCATTAAAGGATTCTATTATAAGGTTAAGTTACAACGGGTCCCTTTCCTACCAACTACATTCTTCTCACTATTCCTGCTAAGAAACCAACAAATGTTTAGATTCAGTAACTATGTTCTAAAGTTCAAACTGTTGAAAAATTAGTATCCGCTGTAGCGAGTTCCAATTATGGTGCAGCAGGAGCCAAAAAACAGATGCAAAAGTGTATTCCAATCTACTTGCTAGAAATCATGGCCATATAATATATCTAAGTAAAAGTACATTTCGTGGGATGGACAGTCTGATGAACGAACTTACCAAACAACAAACATTGGCAAGATCCAGATTCTGAAAAGCCTCTAGCTAAATGTTTAGGTTTGAACATTTTGAGGTTCTTTTGAAACTCTATTAATTAACAAAAATGTTATTCAATTATAAGACAACTCTGAGAACCACTGGTAACAGAGTCATGGCATTTGTACTTCATTTCCAGCTCCTAGAAGTCGGATGAAAATACAAACCCCATTAAGTCCCAGTTCCCTTATCTAAGTCATAAGCAGTGGACAACAGCTGAAATATTTAAGGCACACATTAAGAATCTATCCATAGCTTGATACACAAGCAAAGAAATGCCTGTTTTCTTAGTTTCACTTAGTTGTTCTTGACATCCAACGGCCCTAAAATCCACACTAGACCAATCACTGCACTCGATGTTAAAGGAGAGCCACTAGTTCACTAAGACCTCTTTATGCAGACTCTTGACCAATTAGACTTGGAGGAACACAATTTCACAAAACAAGCACACTGAGAGGTTCAGGGCATCAGGCTCTGGAAGCCGCAAGAGACTGAGTTCACCAACAGGGGTGGCAGGGGATGCTCGGCGAGAAAGCTGAACCCCTAGATCGGGACGCTAAGCCCTGAGGGTTCATGAACTATTGGAAATCTCTAACTGGATACTTCCACCAGAGACCACGTAGGTACATTCTGTGCCTGGATTTGGTCGCGTTCAAAGATGAATGGCTCTCTGTCCACCCGGACATGAGCGACCCAGCCCAGCGGACTTGACCCCGATCCTGCAGCTGTCCCTGATCCTCAGCTCCTGTCCTCCAGGATGATCAACGGCGCCCTAGCCCCCGTCCCCCCATCCCTCATTCCCCTCGTCCCCGGGTCCGCTCATTCCACGGCCCCTTCGCCCCCGGCCGGCTCGTTTCCCTGGTTCCCGGGCCTGCTCATCTCGAGCCCCCTGAGTTCCAGTCCCCGATCGTTCCGCCAGCCCCTCGCATCCCCAGGCCCTTCTCGTCCGCGGTCCCCTCGTGCCCCCACCGCCCATCCCGCCGCCCCTTAGTTCCCTGGACCCTCGACCAGCTCTCCCCGCCAACCACCCAGGAGAAAATCCTTACTTGCGGGATGGTGGTTTGCGAAGGCAGAGAGACACGTAGCTTAGGAGAGGATCTAGCTCAACGAACCGGAAGCTGGGGATCCACAGCCCGCCCACTGCTACTTTCCATTGGTTCGTCATGCAGAGACGTCACTGCGCCGGCGCGGTGCTACGTGTGTCTCTCCCAGCTTCCGGAGGGAGGCGGATCTGAGCGGCTCCGGTCTCCCCTGCAGAACCTGTGGATCCTGTCGGGCTCTTTCCCTACACTCGCCTCGCGTCTCCAGCAGCCTCTCCAGCCGCAGCGTAAATCCACGAATCCATGAAATGAGCTCTAGTTAATGAGTGTCAGCATTACAGCTCCGAATCTCCCCGCTGTGCATGTAAACAGTGTCACTGATCAAAACTGAAACAAGCGTCATTAGTATGTACGACCTAATTCAGAATAATCTCCATTCCGGGAAAGTGGCTTTCTGCTGTTAGTCATGGAAATAGAGCGGGAATTAAGGTCGTCTACCTAGCAGTTTCTCATTTAGCTATGAGGATTTAGATGTATTGAAGGTGCTAAAAGTCTCCGAGTGCAATACTTTTGGTTATTACGTGTTCCTCAGATAATCTTGGTTTGCTCCATCATTAGGGTAAGAGCCAACCTAAGGGCTTTGAAGAGTTTTTGCTTTATTTCTTGTGCAACATACTGCAGTCGAGTAGTATGATTGCAATGCTTTGCTTTCACGTGGAACAAAATCCGTAATTCTACTATTACGTATTCGAAAGACCTATAAAAACTTCATGCCAGTCGCTACAACAGATACAGTTTGCAGAATAACATGAAGTATCTCGTTGAACTATTGGGTCTTTGGTATTTGAAGTGTTTTAAAATCCAACATAGCAATTAGAGTTTGTTTCTCTCTCTCTCTCTCTCTCTCTCTCTCTCTCTCTCTCTCTCTCTCTCTCTCTCTCTCGTTTTTTTGAGATAGGGTTTCTCTGTGTAGATTTGGAGCCTGTCCTTGAACTCACTTTGTAGACCAGACTGGCCTTGAACTCACAGAGATTCGCCTGGCTCTACCTCCTGCATGCTGGGATTAAAGGCATGCTCCACCACTGCCCAGCTAAGTTTCTCTTTTTAATTCAGAGCTTGCAGCCACATATTGGGAAATGACAACTATTATCCTGTCATAACTAGACATATGGACATGGAAGGGTTAAATGCAGCTACTGTGTTATAACATTCTTATGTTTTTCATACTTGCTCCAGTATTACCGCACATCTATAATCCAAGCACTTGAGAACAGGAGATGAGTAGGTGTTCAAGGCCATGTTTAGCTACATAAAGAGTTGAAGGACAGCCTGGGTTACATAAAATTCTGTTTCAAAAAAACAAAAATTACGTTAAACATTCAAACCCAGCATTAATATGACATTAAAAGAAATAAAGAAGTAATCCATAAGGATTCAGGAGTAGAGGAACTGGGTAAAACAAAAAGTATAATTTTTAAAACCACTGAGACAGTTCAGTTAAATATAACCACTTTGTCATGGTTATTATCAACTTGGCATGATCTCAAGTAACCTAGGAGACAAACCTCTGGGCATGCCTGTGAAGGCTTGTCTAGATTAGGTTAGCCTTCATCTTCCCCCCTCAGTTCCTGTCTCTCTCTGGCTCCATTCTATGGCTGGGCTTCCCAAATGTATAAAAAGGAGGAATTAGTTGAGCACTGGTATTCGAAATTCTCTGCTTTCTGGTGATGGATATAATGTGACCAGCTTCGTCAATCTCCTGCTGCTAGGCCTTCCCCACCGTGTCGGATAAACTTCTCAAACTGTGAGCCAGAATAAACGTTTTCTCCCTCATGTCACTTTTGTCAGGGTATTTTATCACAGCAATGGGAAAAGGACGATCATAACCCTCATGTATGATTATAGGAGTGTAATAGAACACCTTTTACAAAAAAAAATGGCCGTTTGTAGTAAAAGTAATCTCTGAATCTCCACAATTCCAATTCTGAGTATTTACTGAAAATTGAAGAAACATTTGTAAAGGGTTTTTTCTTAAATAAAATTCCAAAATATAACCAAATCCAAAACCCTACAAACAGCAGAGGTCTGCAAGAGAATAATGAGCAGGCAAACAGATACAAACTTTGTCCTAGTTGGTCTCTCTATTGCTGTGATAGAGACCATGCCATGCCCACAACCAGCTTGGAGAAGAAAGTACTTATTTCATCTTACAACTCCTGGGTCAGACATAGTCCATCACTGAAGGAAGTCGACAAGAACTCAAGGCAAATCCAATAATTTGGGGATGTAAAGGGACATTGATAGCACCATGTGCAGTAAAATATAAACTTTGTGCATACAAGTGGAAAGGAAAAGAAAATCAGGATAAGTTCGTATTGACTTGATGGACAGTTAGTGGGATTTAAGTAGAAGAGGGAACTGTAGGTGCAAAGCAGGGGAACTTAAGGGATTTGAGAGTAAAAGTAAAGACTGAAAGGATAGCAATAAAAAACACGCTATCAGTGTTGTAAGCCTTAGTAGGTCAATCACATTCAATGAATGGCAGGCCTTACTCAAAAGAGTGGGCAACACAATTGGACTGTATGACATAACAAATAAACAAACAAAATCCTCCAAGTTGGATGGGTAGGGAGATTAGGGTGGTGCAGGTCGATGTGGGAGGAGTTGAGGGAAGGAGGTTTATATGATTAAAACACATAAATACATTGTATGAATTCCCAAAGAATCCATAAAAATATTACTTAAAAATACGATGTCAGATAACACGTCTGAGGGAATGGAGCCACAGCAACCCCGAAGAGCAGGTTGGCCTATGATTTGGAAAAGGAAAATGGAAAAGGAAAGAGAAAAAAGGAAAGCAATGCAGGCATGAACAGAGTACATCCAAGCTCACTTGCTAAACTGACCTTGAGTATTAGTGAAGTGGAAATCAATGCAGAGGAACAGAGAACAGGGTGGAGGTACGAGGTGTGACCAGTGACTGGCTTGATTGCTGGATTCGATCTTGAGTCACAGTACTCTTCCCCCAGCTCCGAGGAGTTACCTCCCCCAGCTCCATGTTACCCTGAGAGTTCCTCCACAATGAACCATCCTGTTCCTTTCTGGGATCTTTCTCTGTGTGTTCTCTGAGGGCTCCAGCTGTGAATGCTGCCCCTGTGTGCGCTTCCCAGGACTCTGTGTGAGCAGTACTTGGTGTCTGGGTGACAGTTCCCTGTGTAAACTTCAGTTGGTTCTCACTAGGTTTTCAGCCCATGGAATGCTGTGTGGATCGGTGTCTGTCAGTTTCTCTTAAGCAGTTCTAGTAGATTCTCTTGCCCAGGTTTCAGTGATCCACACACTTGCTCTGAGTTTCACTGGTGATTTCTGGCTGAGGAGCTACTGACCTAACAGGAGACTTTTGAAATGATGTCTTGTTTCTGATCTGTAGGTTGCATAGTATATTACACTGTGAAGGAGAGAGAGTTTTCCTGTGTTTACTTCTGCTCATTTCCCCTATATTTATGTGGTTGTGGTTACTGCTTGCTTGCTTGTTTGTGGTGCTAGGGATGGAACCCAGAGCTTAGTGCATACTCGACAATTGCTATGCCATTGAGCTATACCCTATCCTAAGACACATTAAAAAAAAAATCTTTCCTACCTAATATTATATGCTTTGACAACATCTTATTTTTTCTCTTCTAGTAATCAGTTTACCAGACTTCAGTGAGATCAGCTTTACTAGATTCCACATGCAAGACTGTACTAAACTTATCACACTCCAGGGTCTTCAGTGTTGTCACATGTGATAGAATTTTGTCCTTTTTTGTTGTTGTTGTTTGGTTGGTTGGTTTTTTGAGACAGGGTTTCTCTGTAGCTTTGTAGCCTGTCCTGGACTAGCTCTGTAGACCAGGTTGGCCTTGAACTCACAGAGATCCACCTGCCTCTGCCTCCTGAGTGATGGGATTACAGGCATGCGCCACCACCACCTAGCCTAGAATTTCATCCTTTTAGGGGTGAATAGTATTCCATTGTACATACACATTTTACATCCATTCTTCTGTTGGCCGATATGTTAGATGACTCTATATTGCTGTGGGATGTTCTGTATGGCAAGTGTGTTGCTCTGATTGGTTAATAAATAAAACACTGATTGGCCAGTAGCCAGGCAGGAAGTATAGGCAGGACTAACAGAGAGGATAATTGAGGGAACAGGAAGGTAGAGGGAGAGACCTGCCAGCCGCCACCATGACAAGCAAGATGTAAGGTACTGGTAAGCCACGAACCACATGGCAACTTATAGATTAATAGAAATGGGTTAATTTAAGATAGAAGAAGTAGATAACAAGAAGCCTGCCACAGCCATACAGTTTATAAGTAATATAAGCGTCTGAGTGATTATTTTATACGTGGGTTGTGGGAACTACACTATATCCTTTTTTTTTTTTTTTTTTTTTTTTTTTTGCTATAAGAAGGGCTATATAGACACAGGAGTGTAAATATCTCTTTGAAATTCCTTTGGGTATATGCCCAGTAATAGGACTGACATATCATATGGAAGGTCTATTTTAAAAATTTTAGGATACTCCATATGTTTATCCATAATAGCTGTGCTGACTTACATAAAGTATTCAATACTCAAAAGAAGTCATGCTTAAAAATTATGCTAGGCATCATGGTGGACGCCTTAAATCTCAGCACTCAAACAATTGGATCACTTTAAATTCAAATCTAGCCTGATCTATGTAGTGAGTTACAGACCAGCCAGGGCTTTGTGGAAAAGCTATGAATAAAGGAAAGATAAGCCTTAGACTAGGAAAAATATTTTCAAAATATATACCTGATAATGGATTTGTATTCAAGATATACAAAGAACTCAGCAAACAACAGTTAGAAAAATAATCCAATGAAAATATACACAATTCTGAACATCTCACAAAAGAAAATCCACAGATGGAAAGTAAGCATAAAATAAGCTTACATTATATTTCATTTGGAAATTCCAAATCAAAATATACAAACCTGATAGGATGACTAAGAAAATGAATAGTATTCCATTGTGCAATCATATCATATTTTACATCCATTCTTCTGTTGGTGGATACTGTGGATGACTCCAGAGCTTTACCATATAAGCATAGGAGTGCAGACTTT